TATATATATATATATATATATATATATATATATATATATATATATATATATATATATATATATATATATATATATATATATATGTATATATATATATATATATATATATATATATATATATATATATATATATATATATATATATATATATATATATATATATATATATATATATATATATATATATATATATATATATATATATGGGTAATTTGGAAAAATAGTACTCCGTAAGAAGTTGGATGTGACTCTATTTGGGAAGCATGTTGACATGGCTAAGAGCTTCTTCCAATAGTAGCCATTACATGATGATGTTATTGTAATTCAACATGCCAAAGTAACGATATTCCAAGGTATTAGTAACATTTTTACTTCGGAAAGATGTTTTTTTAACGTTTCGTTAATACACTATTGCTCAATTTAAACTAACACGTCATGGTTGAAAGGAAAAATTGTTTTACAGAATGTTGTGTACGGTACCCGTCTGCTTTTGAATCCAGATGTAGAAGAAATCACCACATTTGGGCAGAGGTAGGTTTATGCATCTCTAACACATCGTGCCTTATAAATTTTTAGAGATATAATGTAAACGATTCACTAACGCTGCAGGAATTCTGGAGTAACAGCGCAACGTCAACCTCTTAAGTGGACAAGTGACGACATTACAAGTTCAGAGGAAACTGAGTTCCTTGATACAACCTGATCGATGGTGATATCTAAAACTGAAAGCATGTCTTGAGGTATTTTTTTCATTCTCTAGATTTGCGGGCATTGAAAGATGATGTATATAAAGGACATAGAATCAATAGTTACTATGTAGTGGTATATAGATGATATTAATTATAAAGCTATAATAAATATTTCATTTTTAATTGAACCGGGATGGTTCATATGTAGTGTACGGGACCAATGTTACAGACCATTGTTGCAGTCAACAATAGCAGAGATTGGTTGTATTAAGCTTGCAAGTGTAATAGAGCGATGAAATTGGATGGTGCCATGTATTATTGTGTGCATTGCATGTGCCATGTTCTGAATGTCACTCCAAGGTTAAGATTATAATCTCTTCACTTATCTTATGTATGCTCACCTATGTATAATATTTTAGTGTTGTGATTACTCTACGGGTCTTTTAGATATTTAATCAAGCTCGCTGCCAAAGATGATTCCAATCAGACTACATTTGTTTTATTAGATATTTAAACCTACAGTTGGATATTATATTTTGCTTGATTCCTTAATCATTAACTAAGATGAAGAAGAATATCTGAGTAAAAAAAAAAAGCATTCGACCCCGTGCGTGGCACGGGTTAGAATACTAGTAAAGATATAAATGTTAGTTTGAATATAAAATATATATATATAATAAAAAAAGAAAGGATTTTTTTTTGAAAAATAATGTTTTATTAGTTAAATTTTATGTAAATGTGTTACAGTAATTGTTATGCTAAACTTTAAATTAGGAAAAATTTGTGTATATCACATGAGGATTTTTTGCTTTTGAAAATAGTTTCAAAAATGATGCACATGTTTCAAATTTATGTAAATATTTCTTTTCATAAAAAGATACTATGTATATGTCATTTGGGCCACTCACATAATGTCATATCTAAACCTAAGAAAAATTAACACAGCCTATTTTTTGCCCGAAGTCTTACCTGCAAATACTGGATTTTGAACAAAAGTTTTAACATTTTATTGCCTGAAAATGACAGAACCCGAAATGACTCACTAAAAATGAGTCAAATCTAACCAAAACCGACTAACCCACTAACGTAAAAAAAATTTAAATCATGTCCTTCAATATGAAAAATAATGTGATAAAAATAAGATTATGTGTTCATTGTTTCTCACATTACTCATTTTAAGTATATAAAGTATTAAAGTATCCCACATCGGATGAAGAGAAGTAATCGATTTATAAGCTCTTGAATTCAACTAAGTAATCAATCGAATTCAATCTTTTAATGTGGTTCATTCCAAGTTTTTAGACGTTCATTTCTAGCAGCCCTAGTATTTACTGCAGTTGTCCGTGTGAAATATACCCAACGACATGTGGCCCGCTCAACCCAAACGTCTAGAAGTCCATACCTTTAAGTGTTGGCGTCCAAAAAAAATCAGGGGGATGAGAATCCATTTGCAAGTGATCAACTAGTTAAATTCAAAATGACCTAGTTGTCCACTTGAAGGAGAGTATTAAAGTATTTCACATCGGATGTTGAAGAGAACAATAATCGGTTTATAAAATATTGAGTAGAACTAAGTAATTAATTGAGTTTAATCTTTCAATGTGGTTAATCACAAGTGTCATTTGACCCATCTAGTGACCTTGAACCTTATCCTAAATCTTAACATAAACTTATATTTTCAAACATGTTTATAATTATATCACATAAGTATCTTACATTTTCTTTTTCAAAATAATACATATTTAAATTTTTATATTTTGTTTTTCAAAATAGGTACATATTAAAATTTTTAATACTATTCAAAATAGGTACATACTATTCCAATAGTTTTAGTATATGTATTTTGATTTTTTTATTGCAAAATGAAAATGCTAATTTGAATTTAATAACCTGTATGGTCGACCCGAATCCGATGACAATAGATCACGAACATGCACATCTTATACGCCGGGGCATTTTAGAACATTTTACCGGTACCGTCCTTCCTAGGAACGGAGTGGTTGATGTCCATTTTGCGCCAACGGTTGCCCCCCACCAGTGACGCCTGCACGTCGTCTGATTTGTCAAATAAACCCAGCAGTCCTCCAGTATGTATGAAAAGAATCTTCCTCCCTTCCCACTTTTTTGGATTCTCACCCATGTCTTTCATCATCCCATAAGCTGCTTTCCCGCTGCACATTTGGGGGGGTATCCTCAGCAGTAAATAAAAGGATTAACTAATCTACATCTGTCTTTTCCAAAGCACAAAAGAATCACGTTCATCCAACCACTCCCCAAAACCAGACATTGAGGGCTCGTTTGGTGAATTTTGAAAGGTTGATATAATATGGGTTCTGAAATAAAAAAGAAATCATATACGTTCGGATATGATGGCCGGGGACGGTGGTGACCGGCGGAAGGGGGTGGTCGGCAATTGAGGGAGATATCAAACTCTTCAATTTGGGAGGGTTGTGATATCTGAAGGTATCATATCCAAATTCTGTTTAGACTAAACCAAACACCCACAAAAACCACATCAGAACACATCTTCTGTGCTCGCCAAATGGGCCCTAACATGTCTCAGAGGAGCTTTTGTGGATATCAGAACACAGCTTGGAGATGGGTCTCACACAATGCCCAAACAGAGAAGTAACATGATCAAGAAAGGCCATACCTGTAAACGGGGTCAAGAATTACACCAGTGGTTTCAGCAATCTCTTTGACAAATTTGAGTTCCTCGCTTGTGTTCATAGCATATCCAAGACCCTTGGCCTGCAAGTAAACAATAACTTATAACTTCACAATTCTTTTTATGCTACCAACTTGAGGTTAAATATATACTCCCTCCATCCCAAAAATATTGTCTCACTTCAAACAACATCCAAAATCTCATCTCTTTTAAAATAAATTTTTATTTACAAATTGGTATAGAAATTACAACAACAACAACAACCCAGTTGGATCCCACTACAGTAGGGTCTGGGGAGGGTGTGTGTACGCAGACCTTGCCCCTACTTGGAAGCAGGGAGGCTGTTTCCAAGAGACCCCCGGCTCAACCTGCACAAAAAATATGATAGGGTATACAGTATAGCATGGATAAAACACCAAGTACAATGAAAGGAAAGTTCTGCAAGTATTAATAGAAGATTCCAATCAAACACAACACACTACAAAAAACCTCTATAGCACCGAGTTCCTAACCAGCTACTCTAATCCTAGTTCTCCAAAGGTTCCTGTCTAAAGCCATATCCTCAGTCAGGGTGAGAAGTCCTAAATCCTGTCTAATCACTTCCTCCCAATTCTTCTTAGGTCTACCCCTTCCCCTACTTCCCCCGAAAACCGTAATCCGCTCGCATCTCCGTACAGGGGCGCGTCAGCATCCCGCCGTCTCACATGACCAAACCATCTCAACCTCGCTTCCCGCAATTTATCTTCCACCGGCGCCATGCCTACCTGACGTCGGATAACTTCGTTCGAAATCCTATCCAAATTGGTATAGAAATTAAAAGTACAAATTATATACTTCAAAAGTCAAAACTACATCAAAAGTTTTATGAAACAAGATGCGACAAGAATATTTTATTTTATCAAATAATCTATGAAAATACACAAATAAACACAAGTTACCAAAAGGAGAGAAAACTATGCTATTTTCATTCTTATTTAATTTAATTTTCACAATTCAATGCCAAAAGAACAATCATTTCATGAATATGAGAAGATATGATTAAAAGGAAAATACCACAAACAAGTATCAAAGCACTCCTCTTTTTATTTTATTTTTTTGAGGGACGATCCATATTAATTTGAGAGGAGTTTCTTACCCCAAAAAAGAAAAATATCACCTCTTGAATGCGAGGAAATGGCTAATGAATGGAATAAGGATGAGTATCACTTTACAGTCAGAAGAAAATTTTTCAAGCTTAGCAATATTGGCTGACAACAGGATGCCATTTTTTTCAAACAAGCAATAAGTACCGACAAATGAAGTATTCAGGATCATCACAGACACAAAATGGGTAAACTTGTCCATAACCAGGTCGGGAAGAACCTGGATGGTATACTTACACTTTGGATGCTGACAATATCAGATGATCTAATCTTTGCATCGAGTCCGTCGAGGAGGGATTGGGCATACTCATAGAAGTACTCAGGATCATCACAGACACAAAATGCATTAACCTTGCATCAAAACCCTCTTAGTAATTGAAAAAACTAAAGCAGAAAGATGAGAATGGATAAAAACAAAACATAAGCAGTTACTTTTGCCTTCAAGCTACTAAGCCACGATCCAATTGATAATCCAGCTACCGTACCCCCACTGAGATTCCAGAAATAAATAAATTACCATAATTCCCCAAACATAAAATACAAAACAATTGGATTAATATTTAATACAAATGCAAGTAATATTAAATGGCAAGTGCAGACAAAATTTAATGGTATAAATTGAGGTGCAGAATGGTAGATCGAAGGGTTAATACATAGACGGAAAAACAATACTACCAATGCTCTGCATTTGTTTAATGTATTTATGCACTTCCAAGTTCCAACTAATTGAAATACACTGTTAATTCAAGCCTTCTCACCAAAATTTTCTTGCCATTAATGTGAATATGATAGAGATTAACAGAGTCAATTAGGGTCATTAGTTTAACGGGTCAAATATATTGTTTTATATATGTTAGTTACTAAGTAGTAAATAATGTTTAAGTGGGCCTAAATTCTAGGAGTAGTTGCTAGGTAATGTGGTAGTGAGGAATAGTTACTAGGTAATGTGTTAGTGAACCTAAATTATAGGGATTGGTAATTATTTGGCTTCTATGATATTGAGGCTCATTATTTGTAAAAGTTATCCAGAAAGTAATTCAATATTTATTATTGGAGATTCTCCTTGGCTTTATTACTTATATGAGTTTAAGATTCTTACTCCAATTTTAATAAAGATTTTTATTCATCTTTATTATTTTATGGAGTTAGATCCTGATTTCGTAATCTGATAGAGACTTTCCTTTATTTATTTCTCTGCCACTCTTGAGTTCTATTAGAATAGAAAGAGGAACCAAGTTTTTTTCACTTGCCTACGTGACAAAGAAAACTAAAAGTGTCTTCTCTTCTCACTAAAGTTAAAGTTTGAGCATATGCTTCTACCCTCCTGTCATTTTATAAGATGTTTCATTAGAAGACTTTCATCAATTTACACTACGTCATCAAGGCATGACATAACAGATTTGTGATCAACCGAAACTAAAAGAATATAACATGAAGAGAGGGAGAGACTAGAAAACAACCTTCCACATGCTACAACTATGTCATCAAATCTTTGT